CGTAGACATGAGGGTTATTATTCGTTACATGTTTCCGAATTTCTTCCCTTTTGGCAGCAATAATATACCGTTAAGTTATTTTTTTTTTAAATATAAAGTGAGGCAGTGTGGTGGAATCAGGCTCTCGTCAAAATAATCAAAGTGAAGAAACTTACTTTTTTCTGTGGGTTTGTGAATTTTTCTCAAATTTGTGTTTTTTTGGCTCAACACCTTTCATGCCCATTAAAGAACGCATTTCTGTGTGGATTTTTCTGAAAAACGTTGATTAAAGGCACAAAAAATGTATATTTTCAGTTACCAAGGACTCTTATGCTAAGGAAATAACAAATCTTTGGCGGCCATTGTTTCACTAATTTTACCTCTGAAAACAGGTGACCCTCGCCTCCTTCATTCACAAATATCTCGACTTGTATTCAAGATAAATTAATATTTTTTTCATCCAAATAAACACAAGTGAACAAGCTTTACGATGATACCAATAACTATACATGCCCAAAAATTGACGAGAGCCTGATTCCACTACACTGCCTCAATGTAGGTGGTGTCACACCCCATCGACACAGTGTAGATTATTTAGGAGCCGGGCGCAGATGGATGGGAGAGTCCGGTGTTGACATTTTGGGTCATATGCCTTCCTCTAAAGACCCATTATAGAGTTTCTAACTTCCTTTAAAGACCCATTATAGAGTTTTTAAAGAATATTCAGCTTTACACAACGTACCTGACACTCGAACCGTTTTCCAAATTACCACATTGAGTCAAAATTCAGCGGCTATAAAAGAAAGAAACAAAAAAAAAAATTCCACCAAAGAAAGTTGAGTGTTACGCTTTTCTGACAAGATATCTATCTTGGATATTGATATAATCTATTTCTCTTTTTCATTCATAAGCTTTATAATATATTTTCCTTTCTTTATGAACGAACATGACTTAGACGTGAAAATTCAAGTTTCAGAAACAAATGAAGCCCGAATTTACGTCGACCTTCCAAAAATACCTCCTCGAAGCCTTGCATTCCTCCTCACACGAAACAACATTTTTGTATTTTTAAGAACGCTGCTAACAATGAATCGACAGTTAAACGAATAAACGAGCATTATTAGTAGATCCACCTCTACAAAGCCTGCTCTACTCTGGCGCTGACCAGATGACAAGGACATGTGGTTACTTGAGGGAGGCGTTGCGCTGCCAAGAGCGAAATGCTCGCAGCTAAAGGGATTTGAAAACAACAACAACAACAACCTCTTCCATGCATTTGTCTTTGTTTCTTTTGCAGGAGGTTGAACCAAGCAAACTTCACACGCTTTCTGAGTGCTCTGGTCAGCTCATCTACCCCAACACGCGTGGCTCATTTGTGAGTATCTTAACGTATAGGTTTGTTTGTTTGTTGGTCTGTCGGTCGGTCGGTCATTTAATCAGTCTTTCAGTTTCAGTCAGTCAGTCAGTCAGTCACTCAGTTAGTTAATTAGTTCGTTAGTTCGTGCATCAGTTAGTTACCTAATTAGTTAGTTAGCTAATTAGTTAGTTAGCTAGTTTGTTAATTAGTTAGTCAGTCAGTCAGTCAGTTAGTCAGTCAGTCAGTCAGTCAGTCAGTCTGTTAGTCAGAATCAGTAAGCTTAATAGTGTTCAGCTTTAATTTTATCTCTTTTTTGTTATACTCAGCTGATGTCAACCACCCAGATGCCTTTGGGGAACGAAGTTGATAAATATAGTATTATGAAGTTTTAGGTTCAATTATACTCCTTTTGGAACATGAACCAGGATTGCCCACTCCCAGGCCAGCATGATAGCAACTGAGCCAGAAACACTTCGATAATCTCGAGCCACAAACAATCCAAATAACACGTTTGACCACGTTATTCCAAGTATCTCAAAACAGAAATCTCCTCTAGATCTGTGGTTGTAACAAACAACATAATTTTGAAATCGATATCGTCGACGTGGACAAGTCTCACAGTGTGTTCGTCGGACACAAAACTAGTAATCATAACAACAGGACAAGAAAAACCCCTGTATGTCCATCTGATGAGCCACCGAGGGTACATCAAACAGGTATTTTTCGCTATATTATAATAAGCCATCTCCTACGAGAATGTTACAGGAATTGCATTCAATGTCAACTCTTCACCTCCCTCCTATCTAAGAATCTTTGCAGCTGGAAAACCTGCAAACCCATGAAAATGCATTTTTTTCTTCTATCGACTAGTGCAATTTCCATATTTTTGATAAGGAATTACCGAGAAAACCACTCTTTTAGCTGACGTGTACATTCTTAAGTCACATGCAGAATGACAACAGCTCAACAGTTAAAGAACTGAAAGCAGTAACAACAAAAGCAATAAAAACATCAACAACAACAACAACAACAACAACAACAACAACAACAACAACAATAACAACAATAACAACAACAACAACAATACGAAGAAGAAGAAGAAGAAGAAGAAGAAGAAGAAGAAGAAGAAGAAGAAGAAGAAGAAGAAGAAGAAGAAGAAGAAGA